GCGTTCACACACACCCACACGCCGCAAAAAGGAGCAAAGAAAAGACGGGAAAAAAAAAAGAAACATCTCTTGGGGCGAAAAGAAAAAAGAAGAAAAAAAAAAAGAATTTTTTAAAAAAGGCTCAAACGCTTTTATTTGCTTCCTCTGCCTTCTGTGTGCCCAAAATCACATCTGCGCGGGGGAATTGTGTCGCTTCTCTCTTCTCTGTTTTGATTTGGGGCCGGTGCGAGAGGCAGAGTGCATGTTTGCCAGTTCCCGCGCTCTGATGTCCCTTGGCATCAGCCAGGCGTGTCGTGTCATGGGGCTCGCCGCACCGCCTGTGGACAAGCGGACGTTGAAGCGGCGCTACATTGAGTTGGCAAAGAAGCACCACCCCGATCAAAGCGGCCCGGCGGCGTCGACGGATCGCATGGCAAGCATCACCGAAGCTTACAGGACTCTACAGCAGCTGTTGGCCGACGGACGGCAAGGGCGAGGCTCACCGCGTGCACGGCAACACGACGGCGCCACCAGTAGCAGCGGCCAAGACGACATGCATGTGGAGGCAGCGGCGTTTGTCGCCCCTGGCGTGGCCCTGAGCACGTCTGGATGGACTTTGCCTTGGCAACGCGGCCGCACAACGTCGTCGCGCCGGGAACAGGAACGGAAACTGTGCGAGGACGCGTCCTCGATCTTTGATTTCTTGCGGCGCATTCGGGCAATGGAGCGGGAAGAGGCGGTTCATGCAGAGCGTGTGAGGTCTGAGCTGAAGTCCTCCGAGGGGTCCCACGGCTTTACGGTTGAGCACTTTGAGGAACTTCGGCGGATGCAGCAACAGCGTGCGCCGTGGGCCCGACAACGCCGCTCCCGTCTCCGCCTCATATGGAAGTATCAGCGGGAGCGGCTCGCACGGGCCCCAAAGCGCTGCTGGGACGCCGCTCGATATGTCTTCCTTGGGCAGTGATTCGGGAGGCGCGTCGTGGTTTGCGTCGCGATTTTTGTGTTACTCCGAGTGTGTCTGTGTGGGAGGAGGTATTGTAAGCCTGCTGCGGGCCAGGCGAGGAGAGGAGCGGAGAGGAATACGTGCGAAGGAAGAAGGCCTGGGTGTGAAGCATTATATTCCCTCCCCTCCCTCTTTCCTCTTTCCTCTCTTTTTTTGATGCGCGTCTGTGTCTGTGTGTGGGCGCCTGGGACGGGGGGCAGCACCAACGACAAGGAAAGCAAAGGGACAGTAAGCAATAAACGGGGGAAAAAAAACGACGGTAGGGATGACTTCGTTGCCGGAGTTGAGGCGGCAGCCTCCGCGCGAGGGGATGCCGCGCGAGGTGGTGGCGTGGATCCGCACCCTGCATCTCCCGCGCGTTGTGCGGCACCCAAAGCGCGACTTATCCAACGGCTTTCTGGTGGCTGTCATCTGCTCGCGCTACTGGAGTAGCGTCAGCATGCACTCCTACGAGGACAGGATGAGTGCGGCGCAGAAGCGCAGCAACTGGGAGATGCTGCAAAAGCAGTTTGCCCTGAACAAGTGCCCGCTGAGTGAGCGCATGATTGAGGGGATGATGGCCGGCCGTGAGGACTACGCCAACTCCTTCCTTCGGCAGCTCTACACACAACTCACGGGGCGGGCGATTGTCGAGGCGGCGCCGCTGCCTGCGGCGGAGGTGGCGCAGCCAAAAACGCTCCTGCCGCAGTCGGCGCCGCCCGTGACGTCCACTAAAATCAACGTGGAGTTTGCCGCCCCGGCCGTCGACAGCCGCACGACGTCGACGACGCGTGTGCGGGAGCTCCGGTCCTCGAACGTGGCCGCGTTGGCCTCGTCAGAGCACCCCCCGCCCGTGGCGGCGGCGAAGAAGCAAGTCATTCACGCCATTGCCGAAGATCAACAGAGTAGCGACGCGGGTGACGAGGCGGCGGCGAGCGACCTCGAGTCCGCCGCCAGCAACGACGGCGCCGCTAAGAAGAAGCGGAACTGGAAACCGCCGATGGACTTCTCCGTGTCGCTGCGCCCTGCGGAGTTGCGGCAGACGGTGGTCCGTCCCAAACCCAGAGACAAGAGGCAGCCGACACCGCGGGATGAACAAAAGCGGCAGCAGCAGCAACAACAACAACAGCAGCAACCCGATGATGCTCCGTCCCCCAATAATGAAGCCACAGCGCTGGATTTCATCGAGTACATTGTGCGGACGCAGGCGGCCGACCAAGGCTGGATGTGTGCTCGCGACTCACCTGCGCCCTTTACGGACTACTTTCTGCGTGAGGAGTCCAAATTGGGGGCACTGCTGCCGCGCCGTCTGTGGAGTGCGCTGCTTGGCAGCGTCAGTGAGTTGACGGACCGCGTCTTGCGGCAGGGCGGCTCCATGGCCGACATCGCCGCCCTCTTCTTGCGAAGTCTGCCGCCGGAGGAGACGGGCGAGGGGCTGGGGCGCCAATCGTCACAGCATTCCCTGCAGCCGGGGGACGGCTCCCCAGCGCCGAGGCTTTGGAAGAAGAAGGCGCCTCCGAGAGGGAACTCTGGGCCGCAGCGATTTGTCTTCCTCGCGGCGATGCTCTCAAGCCTCTCCGACGCGGATACCTTTCTTGCTATATCAGTTTACTGCGACGACGTCCTGTCCCGCTCCGCAGAGGCAATGAGGACGCTTGACCACGCCACCGCTGACAGCTACGCCTCGCTTCTTTGTGCTGCTCTGCCCGCCAACCGAAGGCTCGCCGCGCGACTTCTGCCTGACGTGCTCGTAGCCGTCCACAGCGCAGTTGCAGCGTCTACCAGGGTTGAGGCAAGAATCAGCTATTGCCTTTTCCTGCGGGCGCTGCTCCTGCGCCTTGCGCGTACTGTGTTTCGGGGTTCGTCGCGGTCCACAAAATCTTCTTCCTTTGCCACGAACACCTTGTCGGCAACGGCCAGCGATCCACTTGCTGCCGCCGCTTTTGAAGCCATTGTGCCCAATGTCCTGGCAGCTCTCTCGCATGAATCGTCAACGGTGCGGCTTGTGGGAGTCCACCTTGCAGAGGCCCTCGCCTTCACGGGGTGTCCCCCTGCACGCTCGCTTGGAGACATTTTGCCTCTGCTAAGTGCCGGCGTCAAATTCGCTTCGCCGCTGTTTAACTGCGTCGGCGCGGCGTGGCTGCGGACCGCCATGAAATGCCTCAGCGACCCCTACGACGACCACGCCCCGCCTGACGCCGAGGGCGGGGCGATAGAGAAGGATGAGCTGTGCGCACAAGCGGCGCCGCATCTGGCGGCGATGGTGCAGCACTTCTCCGACCTCCTGATGGCACCCGGGCGGCTGAATGCAAAGACCTACGTCGCCGAACAACTAGCCCTCTGCCTTGACGACATCCCCAGTGAGGGCAAACTGCAGAGCTTTTTTAACCCAGAGAAGGTGGCAAGGTCCGTCTTTTCCGTCTTGCAAGGCGCCCCAGCTGAGCTTGTGGCGGGCTTTCTCACACCGCCGTCGTCGACGGAAGGCGGCGGGAGGGTCAAGGGGGCACATAGTGGGCAGGTGGCGTTGGTGCCTGTGAGCTCCTCACTGCTTGGTACGTTGCGTGTGGACAGTTCGCTGCGCGACTGTTACCCGCTGGCGCTTTCTGAGGCGGTGCTTTTAGTATTTCCACCAGAGGCGGTTCGTCGGCGGTCATCGGCGCGACCCGGCCGCAACGTTTCAGGCCAGGCCGCAGGTGCTGAGGGGACGCCGATGACGCCGCAGCAGATACTTGCAAAGGCGACGCTTCTGCTGCGGGACCGCGTGGTGCCGGCCGACGTCGCACAGCGCGTGACGTGGATGTACAAAGTCGTGGTCGCCTGCAGAAGTGGCTTTGGTTTTCCGGAACGCCCCGCGTCTCTCAGCGAGGCGGCCGCGACGAAGCGGTGGATTGCCGTCATGCGGCAGATGTACCGCGATGTCGCCGTGCTTGTGGCTGCGGCGGAGATGCTGTGCACGCAGAAGGGCGCCTTGACGGACGACGCCGCGAACGCCATCGCGAAGCTGGCGGGGATGGCGCAGCAGATAGTGCTGCGGTGGCACGTGGAACTCAAGAAGGAGGGGGCGCTGCTGCTGAAGAGCCCCACCGCAGCTCTGCCCACCTCCTCCGAGCGCATGACGGGGGCGATGGCGTGGTATCACAACTCCTTTGCCGAACTCGCGCCAAAGGAGTCGCCGCCGCCGCAGCAGCAGCAGTCGCATCGACCGTCACGCCACTTCTCTGCGTCGTCCTCTCGCCCTGCGGAGAGGAAGCGGTGAGGCGCAACAAGGTGAATAGTGTGCACACGTAATACACATGGTACTGGCTGGCCGTGGCCTCGCTCCCTGCTTCCCGGCCCGTGCAAAGTTGAGGCGTCCCTCCGCCGCCGATAGATGTAGTGAATCGCGCCGAGGCGCCAGACGTGCAGAGCATGAGAGTTTCATGTAAAAAAAAAAGAGTAGAGGGAGGGGTGGAAAAGTTTCCTTCCTGCTGCTGCCGAGGCTGTTTCACGTGGGTTTCCGTACCTTTCTCCCCTGCCAGGTCGCCATTCTCCAAGGTACCTTTTTTCTTTTTTGCCTGGCAGTTGTTTTCCCTTGACGTCATGCCGTGCCTTCATTCCTATTACTATTGTCGTTTCTTCTTTTGTTTGTTTGGGTTTTTTTTTGCCCTTCCCTTCGCGTGCCGGGCGAAGAGCTGAAACGCCCCCGCCAGTTGGTCGATGGGAGTTAAAAGCAAAACAGCAACGCGGAAGTCCTCCTTCAAGGAGGCCGCGGCGGGCGCGGCGAAGGCGGCCGTCGAGACGGTCACGGTGCGCGCGGGTGGCAAAACTCCGCGTCGCGGTGTAACTTTTGCCGAGGCGGAGACCGCTAAAAAGACGACGTCAAGCGCCGCGGCGGCGGCGGCGGCGGCGGCGAAGCGTGCGGTAGTGGGCGGCATCGTGGCCGCGAAAAAGCGCCAAAGGGGGGAGGAGGACGACACCGCCGTGTGCAGCGACGCCGACGCCGACGACGACGCGGCGGCGTCTGAGGCGGAGTCCGGCGGCAGCAGCAACGGGGAGAACCTGAGCGAGCTTGCCGACAGCGACATCACAAGTGAGGCAAGCGCAGAGGAAGCCTGGGAGAATCCCTTCGAGAAGTCAAGGCGTGAGGGGACGCGGTTGACGTATGAGGCCCTGCGTCTCCGCTTCCTTCCGCCGGAGTTTCAGGAGCCGCAGCTCTTCAAGTTTCTCTCTCAGTTCGGCGCCAAGGTGCTGAACTGCTTCTGCGTGCGGAGCCGCCGCACCCACCAGTCCAAGGGCATTGCGTACGTGCAGTTCGACTCCCCGGCGGTGCTCCCCACCGTGGTGGAGGAGTGCCATGGCATGTCCCTCGGCGGCCGTGCAGTGCAGGCGCACTCCGTCACGTTGCACCGTGCGATGCCGTCGAAGGAGAAGATCGCCCGGCGCCGGCGGCTGGCGTACGCGTACAAGACAAAAGGTGCACCTCTCCGCACCCACGACCTGCGCCGGAAGAGCCCCATTGCGGCTCTCGTCAAGTACACCCGCGTGGAGAAGGCAAACAACGAACACCTGCAGCGCCTTGGCATCGACTACGCCTACCACGGCTTCGAGGAGCAGCTGGGGAAGGTTCCCAGCCAACTGATACTCCGGAAGAGGCGGCGGACGGCAAAGAAGCCTAGCGGGTCGCGTAGCAGCGAGCATGAGAGCGACAAGGGCAGGAAGGGTGAAGTGGAGTCGAAGGTTGTCTCGTCGCCGCTGCCCGCCGTGGCCGCCGCGACGGGGCAGAAGCGGGTGAAAAAGTCAGTTAGTGGCAACGGCACCGCAGGTGCGTCCCCCGCCCCCGTCCCTGCGGCAGCTCAGACGAGACAACACGCAAAGAAGTCGGCCGCCCCCGCCACGAAGAAGCGGCGGGCGGGCACCGCCGCAGCTGCGTGAGCCGCGAAGAGGAAGAGGAAGAGGGGTGGGGGCGTCACCCGCCTGACACCTGTGCGTGCGTGCGTGCGTGGGTAAAGGCGAGGGGACGTGGCTTTGCCGGGGCCAGCGATGTGGCGAGGACGGCTGAGACAAAATAAAACTGCGCGAGAAGCGATATAACGTGTAAGGCAAATGAAAGGGGGAAGAGAAAAAAAAAGGAAAGAAAAAAAAGACACAACAACGGCTCGAAGAAAGAAGAAGACTGTGATGTTCATCCCCCTCGCGGCAGTAAGCAATGAGGAGAGGGGGAAGGGGACGTGTGAGAGACGGGAGTCCGTGAAGTCTGCTGGTATGCGTTTATGTTGTCTGCCTGTGGCAAGGGAGGAAGGCTCTTGCGTGGCAGCTGCGCGACACTCTCCTCACGCTGCCTCTTGTTCCTCCTTCTGTATTGTCGTTGTGTGCAGCTCGCGTAGGTGAGGCAGACGGCCTCTGCCGAAGGAAGGGGGTTGCAGTGCGTGTGGTGGGTGGAGGGGCGGGGAGTAGGACGAAGAGGCAACCACAAGTCACGAAAAGCAAATTAAAAAAAAGGGAAGACCCTCTACTAGGCATCGGGGGTCCTTTTGAACGGCAGGCTTCTGTTTTTTTTTTGTTAGTGCGTTTAAGGAGGTGAAGTCGTGTTTTTTTTCTTGTTTTTTTTTTTTTCAGCTCGCTCTTTTTGTTTTGGGTATTCGCTTTGCTGCCGCTCCTCCTCTGTTGGGCGCAGCAATGAACTGCCCCGATCTTGCCACACAAAATGAGCTTCCCATAGAGAATTGCAACGCCGCTGCCGCCGCCGGCAGCGCTACACTCTGCACGCTATCTCTGCACGCCGCGGAGGTTGGGCCACACGAGCACACGAATAGCGTGAACAGGAGCTACTCCGACTTGGATAGCTCGCAGTTTGTCTTCTATGCCGCGGTGCTCTGCTGGCTACGGACAGCCCTGCAGCAGCCTCTCAATCTTGCCTTAGCTCGCCAGCAGACATGCCCAGTCGCGAGCTCCTTGACGGCAATGCAAATCGTGAGACGCGTGTACTCCACCGAGGGAGGCGCACGTGGACTGACGCAGGGAATGTTTGCCCTAACGCTCGGCTGCGCTCTTAGCGAGGCGCTCTATCTCTGGCTTTTTGAGTACAGCCGCGAACGACTTCCCATGGAGTCCGAGGCAACACGCGATGCATTTTCGGGGTACGTTTCCGACGCCGTCTGTCGGCTGGTCCATATTCCACTTAGCATTGTCGCACTGCGGCAAATGACGGCAAAGAAGACCATGTTTGGCGGCACGCATAAAACAAGTGGCATGTTTTTCACGCTGGTGGCAATGTACCGCGAGAATGGGCTGCGTACGGTGTTCGCAGGCTACGGCACAACGTTGTTAGTTGGATGTCAGTGGACGGCGGTGTGGTGGGCGATGTACGGATACACCAAGGCCTGGCTGTACGAGGTCGCAGACGGCTTCCTAGAGAAGGAGGAGCAGGCGGAGTTGAACCCACCCATTTCGTCCCTTTCAGCGTGGAAGCACTGGTTGCGGGCGAGGGACGATAACATGGTCCTGAACTCCATCTCCTCGTTTTGTACGAGCGCGAGCACGGCCGTCCTCTTCAATCCGTATCTGGTGATACGAGCGAACCTGCAGGTGACGCCGCATGCCCGATTGTGGCGCGTCGTCCGCGATTTGTACCGAACTCGCGGTGTGCAGGGGTTCTACGTGGGGCTTGCGCTTAACATCGGAACGTGTCTTATAGATGGTGTGCTGGCGTCCACCTCCTACGAATACGCCAAGCTGTGGGCGGACAAGAGCCACCACTACCAGTCAAGATGACCTCCTGTGAGAGTGTGTGTGTGTGTGTGCGTCCACGGCCCAAGTTAACCGGGAAGGCACGACGAGTCCATACACATATAGATACACACATGTGGCGCCATGTGGCCCATATTTCTACTTTTAGTTTTCGTTCTTTTTTCTTTCTCTTCTTCTTGCTGGATTACTTTAATGTGGCACTGAGTGAGTTAGTGATTGCATAGCCTTTGTTTTGCTTGTGTCTGTGTATTTTGAGTGGGTTGCCTCTTTCTTTTATTTCTTTTTTTTTTTGGATCCACTACGAGGGCGGCATGTCGAGTTTTTGGCATCTGTTGTCTTTTCGCTTGTGTGTAGTGTTCTTTGGGCTGCCGTCTTGCGCATTCCGTGCGGGCGGTCTCGTGTGTGCGTGCACCGTTGCCTTCGGCGCGACGGCAATAGACATGTTCTTTTTCTTTTTCTTCTTTGTGCGTGTGTCTCTCCCTTTTTGCATCCGCCGGGCTTTTTTTTTGTTTTTGTTTTTGTTTTGTTTTGTTTTGTTTTGCGGATTCCCGGGAATATTCTGTCGCGGTGCCCGTGTCCCTCACTTCCCCCGCGCCCCT